TGAAGCCTGTTCGGGGGTATCCAGCTCTAGCCCAAATGTGTTAGTACTATAACTAGCACGTGTTACCTAGCACTGACACACTGACTTCTGTTTCTCCACCATCTCCTAGGGCCCCAGCGACTCCCCCTCCTCTCTCCCCTCTGCACGGGTCCTCCCCTACTTTCCCACCACCCCTGGTTTGTCAGTTCGGCGAGGCTGAAAGATGAAGAACTGGGTCAGAGTTGCGGTGGCATCGATTGCCTTGTCTCTCCCTGCCTTGCTGGCCTGGCTCACTAGCTCCCTGCCCCCACTCTATTTTTAGCCTGCCTCTGTTTTCCTTAGTTTGGTTGGCAACCACACTGGCCTCTTTCTCTTCATTGCCCTTATCTCTCCCCTGCAGCTTGTGCAGACCCCAGCTAACCTTCCAGAGGTCTCTTACGGCCTGCCCGATTGATTTTGATTTTCTTCCATCTTGAAGATATGTTAAGGGCTGCCTGAAAGGCACGGCCTGGCCATGCGCCGGCAGGAGGGAGGCAGCCAGCTCATAACAGTCAGTCTGGGCAGATTCGTCAGTATTACTGAAACCCTTACTATGGCCTCCAACTCCTTCTTTGGTGACGTTTACTCTCCTCTTTGCCCATACACCCCTACATCTCCTCTCCCCTCTATGACCCCACCTCTTCCCACTAAGAAACACTCACGTTCCAGGCAGGTGTTTGGCCTGGTGGTTAAGACACAGGTTTAAGATACCCATACCCCATACTGCAGTATCTGGGCTCCACCCACAGCTCTGGCCCCGACTCCGGCTTCCTGCTAAGGCAGACCTCTGCGGGGCAGCAGTGACGCTTCAAGTGCTTGGGCCCTTGGATTGAGTGTCTGGCTCCTGGCTTCAGCCTGGCCATCCCCAGCCATTGCATGCATTTTGGGGAGTGAACCAGCAGATGGGAATTAGCAATTGCGCGCGCTCTCTCTCTGTCTCTCTCTCTCTTTCCCTCCCTTTCTCACTCTCTTTCTCTCCCTTGCAAATAAAATAAAAGTTTAAAAAATGCTCAGTTCTAGGCCCATTTTCTTTGGCTTTGGGGATGTGCAGCAGCCCTGGAGGTCCTGGCCTGCCTTCTTAGTCAGTGTGTGCATACCAAAGCTCTTCTTACCCAGTTCCTTGTCTGTCTCACACACATCTTACCCAACTGGTGCTGCCAACCTCCTTCTCCCCTTTCCTAGGACGCGCAGGGCTCACTTGTAAAGGCCTTCGCAGCTCAGGCACGGCTTGGTAGCATCCCCCACTCGTCCTTTCCCAGCCTCCGCACGACATTCGGTCCCCTCCTTGAGCTGTCACCAACAAGCTGAATGAGGCTGGATATTTTGGAAGGGGAGCTGCAGCTGGCTGGGGGAGGCGGGTGGCACTGAGCAAAGACACAGAGGGAGCTTCAGGCAGCAAGTGGGACGTTCCCAACACCCTTCTCCCCAGCTTGTCAGCTTGGGAGCTGGTGGGATCCCACGCTGCTCTCTCTGTGCCTCATCCCCCCACCCCCCAATAATGACATAATAGCTTGCATTGCAGTTTGTAACACTCTTCTACATACAACTAAGTATCTGCATGGCTCCTTGCTTCTCCTCCAAATGCTCCCAGGCCCCTTCCTCAGTGAGTCTTACCTGAGCACCATCCAGATTCGGCTCCCAGCAGTGCCTGCCTCACCCCTCTGTTATTCCCAGAGCACTTAGCACCTTCTACTGTATGATGGCAGGCACTTGCGTGTGCTGCTGTCTGTCTGCTCCTCACTGCTCTGTAAGAACCACAAGCACAGGACTTTTTTAAACTGTGGTAGATTACACATAACACAAAGCTTATCATCTTCACCATGTAAGTGTGCAGTTTAGCAGTATTAAGGACATCCACATGGTTGGGCAACCCATCTCCAGACTCTGTTCATCTTGCAAAACTGAAACCCTGCATCCAACAACCATTCCACATTTCCTCCTCCTCTCCTAACCCCAGCAGCCACCATTCTTCTCTGCATCTCTGTGGATTTGATGAGTGTACTCACATTAGTAACATCATACAGCATTTGTCTCTTTGTGACCAGTTTATTTCTTTTTTAAAAAAGATTTATTTAACTGAGTCATGGGGGTGGGGGGCACGGGAGAGACAGAGAGAGATCTTCCATCTGCTGGTTCACTCCCCAAATGGTTGTAATGGCCAGGTTTAGGCCAGGCCAAAGCCAGGAGCCAGGAGCTGCTTCTTGGTCCCCCAGGTGGGTGTAGGGGCCCAGGGACTTGGGCCATCTTCTGCTGCTTTCCCAGGTGCAGTAGCAGGGAGCTGGATTAGAAGTGGAGCAGCCGGGACTCTAACCAGTGCCCATATAGGATGCTGGCATCACAGACAGTGGTTTAACCTGCTACACCACAGCGCCAGCCCCATGATCAGTTTATTTCACTTACCACAGTACCCTCAAGTCTCCTCCATATTGTAGCCTGTGCTAGAATTTGTTTCCTTTTTAAGGCTGAATGATAATTCCATTGCATATACATACCCTGCATGTTATTATCCCCCCATTTTTTAAAGTTGTGTTTTGTTTTGTTTTAGACAGATAGAATTAGACAGTGAGAGAGAGAGAGAGAGAGAGACAGAAAGGTCTTCCTTCCGTTGGTTCACCCCCCAAATGGCCGCTACAGCTGAAGCCACACCAACCCAAAGCCAGGAGCCAGGTGCTTCCTCCTGGTCTCCCATGCAGGTGCAGGGGTCCAAGCACTTGGGCCATCCTCCACTGCCCTTCTGGACCACAGCAGAGAGCTGGACTGGAAGAGGAGCAACCAGGACTAGAACCTGGCGCCTATATGGGATGCCAGCACTGCAGGCAGAGGATTAACCCAGTGAGCCACAGCGCTGGCCCCAATCCCCCTATTAACACCTCTTAGCCACTGGGAATGATGCTCTGAATATCTCTTTGAAACCCTGTTTTCAAATCTTTTGGGAATAAGAGCCAGTGTTGTGGTGTAGTGGGGTAAAAGAGAACCTGTGACACAGGCACTTCATATGGGGTTCCTGTCCTGGCTGCTCCATTTCCAACCCTGCTAGTGTGCCCGAGAAAGCAGCAGAAGATGGTCCAAGTCCTTGGGCCCCTGCACCCATGCGGTAGACCCAGATTAAACTCGTTAGTCCTGGCTTCAGCCAGGCTGCTCTTGATTGTTGTAGCCATTTGGAGAGTGAAACAACAGATGGAAGATCTCTGTTTCTCCCTCTCCATCTGTAACTCTGCCTTTCAAATAAAGAAATACTTTGGGTATATACCCAGAAGTGGAATTGTTGGATAACATGGTAATTCTACATTTAATTTTTTTAATTTGAAAGGCAGAGAAATAGAGAAAGACAGAGATCTCTCATCCACTGCCCACAACAGCCAAGGCTGGGGCAGGCCAAAGCCAGGAGCCAGAAACTCAATCTTGGTTTCCGATACGGGTGGCAGGGACCCAACCAACTTCGGCCATCACCCTTAGCAGAAAGCTGGAAATGGAGGTGGAGCCAGGCCCCTAATCCAGGCATTCCAATACGAGATGCAGGGTCCCTAGCAACATCTTAACTGCTGCCCTAAACAACCATCTCTACTTTTTGAGGAAACACTTTACTGTTTTTACAGAGTTAGACACACACACACAGAAAGAGAGATCTTCCATCTACTGGTTCATTCCCCAAATGTCCACAACTCCAGGGCTGGGCCAGGACAGTGTCTGGAGCACAGCAGAGGTTCAACATACAGGCGTGTATTGAACGAAAGGAGGAGTGATCATGATTGATCCTCGCACTGCTTTGTGCAGTCGGCCTGTATCAATGATTATTCCCATTTTTATTTTATTTTTTTTGACAGGCAGAGTGAACAGTGAGAGAGATAGAGAGAAAGGTCTTCCTTTTCCGTTGGTTCACCCCCCATGGCCGCTACGGCCGGCGTGCTGTGGCCGGCGCACCGCGCTGATCCAAAGCCAGGAGCCAGGTGCTTCTCCTGGTCTCCCATGGGGTGCAGGGCCCAAGCACCTGGGCCATCCTCCACTGCACTCCCTGGCCACAGCAGAGGGCTGGCCTGGAAGAGGGGCAACCGGGACAGAATCTGGCACCCCGACCGGGACTAGAACCCAGTGTGCTGGCGCCGCAGGCGGAGGATTAGCCTATTGAGCTGCGGCGCCGGCTGATTATTCCCATTTTACAGAGGCTGAGGTTCAGAGAAGCATTAGACCACACAAAACAGACTTGGCATGGCCTTGACAGGATTAGCTGGCTTTTACACCTCGCTGGAGAAATCAGTGCTGATACGTGTGCCTAGGCTGTTAAGGCCTCCAGCAGCTGCAGAGTAATTTCCTCATGGTTGTAGTTCCTTTGGGAATATTTTGACTTGCATTCCCATTGCCCACTCTTTAGTAAGTCCCCTTAACACATCCACCACCACCACCACCCCTGCCCCAGTCCCAATCTTGCATTCCTCAGTACATCTGTATGTCCTGTTTTCTGGGGTCAAACTGGCCCACCCTGGACCTCCTCCTGCTCGGGGTTCATCTGCATGCACCCGGCCCTACCGGCCTCCCTGCTAATACCTCTCACCCCTCCACCCACCCTGGGGTGCTTATGAGCCTGTTCCCATGCAAAGCAATTAGTGCAAGGAGGCCAGCCGACCCGTGCTAATGCTGTTTCATTAAGTGGGAGCAATCCTAATGATAATAAAATGGCACATTTAACATTCAAACATTGAACAGGGTTTCTAAGCGAGTGTGTCTCTCTCTTTCTTCCTGGTATAACAGCTCCATCTTCATAAAGACCTGACAATACACCTTAATGAGGGACTGGGGAGCTGAGCATCTTTATAGAACCAGGGAGAGGATGAAGACGAGACAAAGGATGCAGAGAAAGGGGGTGCAGTGCGTCGAGGGGATAAAGGCTCTCAGCATTCCTGGGGTAATAGATTCTGCGGTGCTAATTTAGACAATTAGAGCTCATAAGAAATGAGGTCGGATGGAACAGAAAGCCCGCCACAGACTTTAATGAAATGCAGCTATTTATTTGTTTGTTCAACAGATATTTTTCAACAAACATTCATTGTGCTCTTAGGAGCTGGATTTTTTAGGAGTTTGTGATGGAGAGTGGCTCTGGTTCAAGGAAAAGGAATGCAGTAGGGAAACCTAAGAGGTTGTCTTGTTTACCTTCCCCTGGACAGATTATGTCAAATTCATGCCAAGCTCATCACCGTCCCAGGGAAGAGAACCGTAACAATTGCTCTGGTCTCCTGGGCCAGCCCTTGTGCCCTCCCATCTTGAGACCTTCATCTCAATGGTCCTTGCTCCTCTGTGACTGCAGAGGATCGGACGGACCTTCTAGAAGCAAGGAAGTCGTCGGGGTCGGGGAGCTAGCCAGGGAAAGAAGGCAGACTCGACCATCTGGGGATTCCACAGAGGCAGGAGAAAAGGGTGACATTTTACAGCCACTTCCCTCTCATGGGGCGTTTCCAGCAGCCCCGGGCTCCTGTGCACAGAAGGGAGGTCAGAGGTGGGCTTTGCCCAGGCCAGGGAAGCGGCTGATTCGAAAAGGTGTCAGGTCATAGGATGGGGTTAGCTTCATGCTTAGTTCATACAGGACCTTCCCCACGACAGGGGACAGCTTGAATCCATGCCCTAGGGGAAGGAGAGGGGACAGTCAGGCGCTCAGGGCCAGGCAGGCTGGGCTCTCGGCAAGTCCCCCACTGTCCCACTCAGAGGGCTGCCTCTCCTCGTGCTCACCTCCCACGGCCAGAAGCTGCCTCCCACCGTGACAACCCCTGCCCTGATTTCCCAGCCAGCCTCCTAACTGACCCAAAGCCAGGCTTTAGCCCCTCTGTGGGCACCTGAGTATGGGGAAAATACCATTTGGCCCAGCACGGAGAACAGCCAGCTCTAAGGGGGCCGTTTCCCCTCCTAAGCTCACCAGAGAATCCAGCACCGATGACAATGTTGTCATACTTCGGGTGGCGATCGAGAATGAAGTGTGTATCAGGGGTGTTCTAGAAGAAATATTCACACCTGTATATCACACGTTGATAACAGGGCCGGGGAGAGTGGTGGGGGGTAGGAAAACTGCAGGACCTGACAGGAGGGGGCTGGGCTGAGTTTCTTTCCAGAGAGAATGAGAACGGGGCACTAGCCTGCTTCCTGCCTGCCAGCACCCCTCTGGATGCCAGTCTTTCCTATCTGTCCATCTGTCTCTCTCTCCCCTGCGGAGCCATGAACACAGTAGGTGCTTAGCTCATCCTAGCAAACTCACTCCAGCCAGGATGCCTCAGGCCCTGGTGGCATCTGTCTCTTCTCTTTGTCCCCGAGGCCTGCTCAACTGGCGCATCTTGCCAAAAACCCTTTTAGAGCTCTTCTGGGGACTATCGTCAGGGACTGCCAGGCCCAGCTCGTTGCCTAATGAAAAAGAATACGAATAATCCCTCCCCGGCCCTGTCTAGGGGAAGAAAGCCGACCCATACAGCTTAGCTTGCTGGTTTCAAGTTGAGTTCCATGTCAGGGCTCAGAGTGGGCCCCAGCCAGTGTGAGCTCTGCTTGTCTCCTTCTCCTGCTCTCCAGAGCCGTGGTGGGGGGTGGGGCACGGGGGGGCCACCAGCCCCTTACCGTGTACATGCAGCGTTCCATGATGTCGGGCTGCGGCTTCAGGTTGGGTAGGTGAGCTCGGACAAAGTCGCACAGGATCTGCACGTCCTGGATGTCTGTCATCGCCCTGGGGCAGTCCCGCTCCTCAGGGTCCACGGTGTCACCGTGGTGATAGCAGACCTGACACCAGATCAGAGCCTTGTGAGTGGTGAGGCCGGCCTTCCCCACACACCCAGGGTGTCCCCAGCCAGCACCCCACCGTCCTCAGTCCTGCTGCAGGCTCCTTGTTGCCACCTGAGTTTGCCCAGCTGTCCAGCCCCAGCCCACCCTCTGCGTGCCAAGGAAAGGCACCCTTAGCAGGGCCTCAGGACAGCTGCACTGCTGCCCACTGGGACCTGGGGGTCGTCTGTGGAAGGCAGTTAGAGAAGCTGGCCCCCACCTGGATGGGCACCTCAGCTCACCTTCATGAGCCCTGGATACTCTCCGGAGGGCAGCCCATAGACGTGGTGGGGAGTCAGGCCCATGCTCAGGAAGCAAGGAAAAGCCTGGGAAGCACCATAGCTCCCAGGAACCGTCTCTCGCCAGTAGCACACGTTGATCCGCAGGGGCTTGAGGAAGGAACAGGAAGTGGGAGGTGAGGGGGAAACCGCCAGACGCCATGGACGATGGAGCAGCATCTTCTGGGGTCCTACTGCCCTTAACCGCAGGCCTGGACACCCGGATTTGCTCATCCACCCTGCTTCACTCAGGTCTCCGTCGTTCGACTTTTCCAGGTTTTATGACACATGAAGACCTCTGACCCTCTGTCTCCTCCCTGTTCTTTGTGTGCTCTCAAAGCTGCACGCCAGCCCTACTTCTTTGTCTTTGCAGGAGTTAATGACCAGCTAGTCATTAAGTCCTTACTCAAACCAGGCTGTCTCCCAAGAGTTTGACAAAGGGTCTCCAAGTGGCTAAGATGCTGGTGAAGATGCCTCTGTGCCATGTCAGAGTGTCTGGGCTCAGTTCTCACTCACTCCTGACTCCAGCTTCCTGCTAATGCAGACCCTTGGGGCAGCAGTGATGGCCCAAGGTGTTAGGTTCCCTTCTACCCACATGGAGACCTGGATCAAACTCCTGGCTCCCAGCTTTGGCCCCTGCCCAACCCTGGCCATTGAGTGCATTCTGGGGCACGAACCAGTGGATGTGAGCTTGCGTACTCTCTCTCAAATATAAATAAAAATTTTAAAGATTTATTATCATTTGAAAAGCAGAGTTAGACAGGAGGTGGGGGGGACTCTTCCATTCGCTGGTTCACTCTCCAAAACGCCACAACGGCAGGGGCTGGATCAGGCTGAGGCCAGGAGCCTGGAACTCCATCTGGGTCTCCCACATGGGTGGCAGGGAGCCAATTACTTGAACCGTCATCTGCTGCCTCCCGAGGTGCACGTCAGCAGGAAGCTGGAATCAGGACTGGAGCCGGGACTCAAACCCAGGCTTCGGATTTGGGCATCCTAAGCAGCATCTCAATCCTCTACGCCGCACACCCATCCCTAAGCTTATCTTTTAATCCCATTTTCCCACAAACCTTTCGAAGTACCCTCACATACACCTCATATGTCCAACAATGCGGTTCTTCAGCAGCCCCCTGATACAGCTGTTACCCCTCCCCCCGCCGTGTTGATGCAACTGAGGCTCAGTGAGGTGAGCTAGCTTGTTCAAGGCCAACACAAGCAAATGGCATATCCAGGACTTGAACTGAGTCCGCCGGCTGCTTCTCTTAAGCACCCATGCTCAGGCCTGTGGCTCTCCCTACCTGGAGAGGTAGCTCAATTCCCAGGGGACGGAGGAGCCTGTTGGTCCAGGGACCTGCTGTGATGATCAGGCTCTTGGCTTGGTAGCTCCTGGAGGTGGCGGTCACCGTGACCGGTAGCCCTGGTTTTATGTCCAGCACCTTCTCTCCATCACGCACTGTGCCTCCCAGCTGGCGAACTGCATCCTGAAGGGGCAGGTGCAGAGAAAGGTGAATTTGTTCTCCTTGTGTTCACCTTGGTGGACAAACAGCCCTTCACTTAGGACAGAAAAGATAACATAGGGAAGGCCCTCATCTGGAAGAATGGGATTCCGGATGCCCCAAGCAAGGAGATGTATTGCCCGAGAGCTGGACAGTGTCACCTGGAGGGCCCTGAGGGCCTTGTCTGCATAGAGAACTCCTCCAGACTTGTCCAAGAGGCCTACTTCTCCCTTGGTCAACCGAATGTTTGGGAAACGCTGCTTCAGTTCCTCGGAGGAAAGACGCTGGTGTTCCAGCCCATGTCTGGACAGTGTGGCCTGCATTGACTTTAGTTCTGGATCCTCTGCCATTCCCAGCAGCAACAGTCCAGTCCGCCTGTAAAAACAAACACAAAAGACGCCTGGGTGGAAGTACCTGTGAAGGCCCTGCGCCATTTGCAAGGATCTCAGGTGCAGGCCTAGGCAGGAGGAGAGTCACAGCCTTGCACAGAGGGAAGAGGGGACACCGTCTAGATTTTGGCCACAGGAGCCCTCTGCCCTTGGCTCTCACTTTTGCTTGTCCCTCCATCCTGCCCTGGAGGGAAGAGATTCTAAGCCTCCTTTCATCTTGCACACCTGGAGAGTGCTGTCTGTTCTTCCAGCCTGGTCAGGTTTCTTCTCCTTCCTCCCGTTCACTATTTCCATCCCTCTACTCTGTATCTGCCCCAGGCCACGCCCACTCTTCTCCCTTTCCTCTTCCTGTCATGCCATGCATTGTCCCTTCCTGCTTGTCTCTGCCTCTCCATTTTTTTGCAGGGCTGTTTCTTGTGGAAAGGTCTTAAATTGGGAGATCCAGTTTGGGTTCTGGCCCTGACATCACTTTGATGTGACCTTGACCTGGTTGCTCCCATCTCTGGACCCAGATTCCACATCAGGGTGGCACCCCCTCCTACCCAGCAGGTGGAAATGGCATGGGTCATTTTTGTAATTGTCAGAGCATCTGGGGTTGCAACTCACATTTAGGGATGCTGAACCTGCTATGCTCAGGAAGATTCCACCCCAAATGCCAAAGGCACCTTCATGCTTAAACACCAGTGGATGGTCTCCTAGGGCCCCAGCAATAAATTGAGTGATTATGTCTCTCTCAGCACCTCCCTCCATCCTTCTTAAACCCCAAAGCAGTGAAAGCTGTTTCTCTTTGCACGCTTCTTGCCTCTCTGTCATAAGAGACCAGAGCTCCCTTTAGACAGGAAGTGATCTAAACAATGCAGGGGTCCCTCTGGCCCCCTGGGACCATTCCTGTAGTCCCTTCTGGTTGCGGCAGCCGCACTGGCCAGCAGCCGCCCGGTGCATCCCCCAGGTACTTCGTAGAAAGCTCGTAATAGCCTATAATGGAGTCTCATGGATATTACATGCTTGCAAATCCCACATTATCTGGTTGGGGGGATTAAAGAGAAGATTGGGAAGGGGGAGGGCCACAGTGGGCCCTGGGGCTGGTGTCAGTACACAGAGCCGCGCAGCGTGCCCAATCCATTCGCCATGGCCCCCGCCTACCCGGCTCTCACCACAGCGAGATAGCAGCGAGAGCCTCTGCTCTTCAAAGCTCCTCAGAGGCAAGAGGCTGGAGCAATCCCCACCAGCCTGTAGCCAGCCTCTTCCCAGAGGACTTCTGATTGGTTCTCGGGTAATGCACACTTGCCTGGTAAATGTTTTGGTCAAAAAGATCATTAAGAAGTCACCCAGGTACATGTTCTTGAGCCCTGTCACCTGATGGGGTCCCAGCTGCATAGGATTCTGGGAAATGCACCTTAGCATGTGTCATGTAAGATTCTCGGGCCTGCAAATTCTAGAACAGCATGCTGTAACCCCTGCCTGCGCTATAGCAGCCTGGGTCTCATATTCTCTGATCTCCCTCTCTCTCAATATTTATATATTTGTTTCAAAGTCAGAGTTACAGAGAGAGAGAGAGACACAGAGAGAATGAGATCTTCCATCTGCTAGTTCACTCCCCTGATGGCCACAATGGCCAGGGCTGGGCTGGACCAAAGCCAAGAGACAGGAGCTTCATCCATGTCTCCCACATGCGTGGCGGGGACCCAAGCGCTCAGGCCATCTCCAGTTGTCTTTCCCAGACCATTAGCAGGGAGCTGGATCAGAAGTGGAGCAGCCAGAACTTGAACCAGTGCCCACACGGGCTGCTGGTGTCGCAGACAGCAGCTTTACCATCACGCCACAGTGCCAGCCCCATACTTTCTCTTTTGTTACAATTCCTCCCAAGATCAGACGAGATCGGGCGCGTTCAGGATGGTATGGCCGTAGACTCCCCCCTCCCTCCCTTCTTTCCTTCCTCCTTTCCTCCTTCTTCCGTTGAAAGGAGAACTCCTCTTACAGGGATGTGCTGAATGGGGAAAATGAGTGTGTGCTCTGGCAAATTAGGGAACGCTGAGTGACGTTCTAATTCCCAGCCATCCTGCGGTGGACGAAGCGGGAGTGCCCCATCCCTGGGCGTAATCAGCGAGCTGATTCCGCCTGGTGAATGTAATTGTGCCGATTGTAATCATTTTGCTCCAGCTCTCTGCCCCTGTGGCATTTATTTCTTAGCCAGATATTGATCTAACAGTGGGAAATTTTCCATCTGAATTTGTGATGCTGGACCCTCCCTTAGTCCGAAGATGCGTTTGGGAAATTCTCATTTTCCGTGGATCACAGCTGAGCTATTTGGCCTGAGGGAAACCGTGCACTGCTAGAGAAATGCTGTGGATTGGAGAGAGATTTTTGACCATTATGAGCAAATCGGAAATAAATGTAAAACACTGCCTGGAAATGCAAAGGCCTGTCATTATGGGAGATAGGTGAGACGCTCCTATGGGAAATGCTGAGAGAATTGGAAATCAGTCAATCAAAACCAGGATCAGAGAATGGGCCTTTTCCCCCAGTATGAAGATAGATGACTTCCATGGGCTGATTGAAAATCATTTAAGTGCTTATTTTCTTAATGGCTTTTTCCTAGATCCCAATAAATAGACTGCTCATTCTGCGTCAATTTCTCCCCACTGTGCTCCTGGTTGCTCCCTCCTCTTTGTCTGCTCAGACCGGGGTTCCAAGGTTGGGGAAGGAAAAGGGTGAGGAAAGACAAGGGCACCCTTGTAGAGTGGAGGAATGATCAGGGAATGACTGACAAGCCAGAGCTGGCCTGGACAGAAGGGCTTGGAGCCAGCGCTAGGGCTGTCAGAGAACTCTGGCAAACTTGTAGCTCCCAGCCTCCCACACCACCCCTCAGCTGGGTCAAGAGCACATGGTCTGAACTGTGCCTTCCTCCCAGTTCCACTTGGGTCCAGCGCCGGGAAGAAATTGCTGGAGATTCCACCCAAGGGCCTTGCTGGCTCCTCTACGGCCCGAATCACTCCTCCTATGTGATGTGGGGAGTTGGTGATGGTGGTCTGGCCAGCTGGGTGCAGGACATAGTGGGGAGCAGCTGGGGGCTGGGGACAGCTCCCTGCACCTGCTGTCTCCCACCCTCAGCTCCAGCGTTCCCCTGCCTGGGTGAAGCCAGCTCTGAGTCACCTGGAGGAAGGGACTTGCCATTGTTGGTTTTGGAGGTGCTCCCTGCGTGCTGTCTCCTGCTCAGTGGGCCGAGGTGGAATTGGTTAACAGAGACTGCTCCGGGGAGGGGATGTGGCTGACAAGCCAGACACCGCGCAGACACAGGAAGCAGCAGCTGCAGAGGGGGCCACCAGGTTCCGCCAGCAGCTGTATCGCCTACGGCTGTGATCTTGTCTGATATTGTCAGCCAAGCAGGGGCAGCCTGGGTCAGGAGCTGGATAGTAGGACTCAAAGGGAGAAGGCGGGGCGGGAAAGAGAGGGGCCGCAGCGCTGGGCTTTGCTGTTGCTATCCGCATCGTGCCTGTACACATCACAAAAGATTCAGACCTTGTGATCTGACACATGTGTCATTGTCTGTTCCCAGAATATATGCAAATAGTCTGAGCCCACCCATGTTTAGTATGCGGCTGTCACAGGACACAGCAGAATAGAATAAAAAGACAACTGCCTTGACTAGCAAGCCCTAAAGATCTTCATGAAATCATCATCAAATAGCATGAAGTATGCCCATATTTATTAGTTATATTATAGTCTTGTGCTGGTTCTTTCTGAAGAACAAAGATGAATCATTTAGAAAATCAGAATTAGGAGTAAGAGGGAAAGGAACTGAGATGGCTTTTAGCCCACAGGCAGAAATGTATTCATATGCCACTCAGAATGTCCTGTGTCCCTACTTAGTAAAGGAACCAAATAAAGTTAGTGCGCCTCGGTAAATTAAGTTAGCCGAAAGGACGGACTGTTAACAATAGAATCACGGCAGCAACAATAGTGTACTTGGCATGCTGGAGTACTTGAAAGGTTTGGAAAGCATATTTTACGATTGGCACTGTGAGGTACTGAAATTTGTTTTGTTTGTTTTTTTAAGAGTCACAGAGGGCCAGCACTGTGGTGTGGTGGGCTAAGCCTCTGCCTGCAGCACTGGTATCCCATTCGGGCACTGGTTCTAGTCCCAGCTGCTCCTCTTCCGGTCCAGCTCTCTGCTATGGCCTGGGGAAGCAGTAGAAAATGGCCCAAGTGCTTGGGCCCCTGCACCCACGTGGGAAACCAGGAAGAAGCTCCTGGCTCCTTTCAGATCTGCCCACCTCCAGCCATTGCAGCCATTGGGGTGTTAACCAGTAGATGGAAGACCTCTTTCTCTGTCTCTCCCTCTCTCTCTCTCTCTCTCTCTCTCTAACTCTAACTCTAAATAAATACATAAATGTTAAAGAAAAAAAAAAAGAGCCACAGAGACAGAGAAAGCAAACTCCTGTCTGCTGGTTCACTCCCCAGATACCCCAATGGCCAAAGCTTGGCCAGACTGATGTCCAAGACAAATATCAGAGCCAGGAGCCAGGAACACAATCCAGGTCTCCCACGGGAGTGGCACTCGAAAGCCCTCTACCTGACCCGTCACCTGCTGCCTCCCAGGGTACACGCTGGAAAGAAGCTGGAATCAGGAGCCAGAGCCCAGAGTGGAACACAGGAACTCCAATTGGGAACGCAGCCATCTTAATCACTAGACCAGCCACCTGCTCCAGAATGATCTTTTAAAATGGCCTGTGACAATTGCCTGTCTGCAAATATCCAGTTGCAATCTTTTGACCTGGGATGATTCAGACCCAAACTTGTTTGGAGACAGGAGAAGGGACAAGGCCACCAGTTTGTGGTGTCTCCCAAACCAGGGACCAGAAAACAACAATTCAGGGACAGAATCTGGCCTTCTGTTTGCTTTTTTCTTGTTCATAAGCCAAGAGGTTTTTTACTTTTTAAATGGCTGATAAAAAATCAAAAGAATGCTATTTCATAGCACAAGAAAATTATGTGAAGTTTGAATTTCAGTGTCCATAAACAGTGTTATTGGAACACATCCAGGTTTGTCTGTTTACACCTTGTCCATTGCTGCTTTCACACCATAAAGGCAGAGCTGAACCACGGGAACAGACCACAGGGTCACAGAACCTCAGATCCATGTGGCCATTTGCAGGAAATGTTTGCCAATCACTGTTCTAGAAAAGAGTCTTGTCATTCTGTGATTTGAGTTAATGGCTTCAGACTCTGCTCCGTGGCAACCCTCTCATAAGGTTGTGGGGAGAAGTAAATGAGGTGTAGATGAGGGTACTTCAAAAAGCTCATGGAAAAATGAAATAGAAAGATAAGTTTATTTTGGTACAAGAATTGAATCCATGCATATGATAAGGGGTCTTTAAGAAGTTTATGGAACATATATATTATGAAAAAATTATGCACGAATTGCAAAAGTTTTTGCACAAAAATAAAATTATCTTTCCATTCCATTGTTGCATGAATTTTTTGAGGCACCGTCATGCAATTCGTATATCCCTTATGCAGTAGACCGTATATAATGAGGTGTCCTGGGAAAGAGATGCAAGTCTAAACACAAAATCCATTTCTGTTTCATATGCACCTTACACACATAGCCTGAAGGTAAGTTTATACAACATTTATAATGCACATGCATTCTGACTTCCCCCAGTCACCTGAGGTCAGGTGTGGGATTTGCCACTTGGGGTGTCATGTCAGTGCTCAAAAAATCAGATTTGGGAGGATTTCAGAGTTTTGGATTAGGGATGCTCAACCTGTATCATGCTTAACAGCAGCCCCTAGTTTCTTATGGAAGATGTTGACTTTCTACATTTTGTTCTCAGCTCACCACATACAACAGCCCCATGAACTAGGTATTATAACCCTACTTTGCAGATGAAAAAACTGAGTCTAAATGCACAGAGGATGTACAGCTTGCTACAAACCACACAGCTAAGTGTGTCAGAGCTGAGATTGAGAGCCAGGCCTGACTCGTTCCCAAATCCTTCCTGATTCCTGTCCTGCTAAAGAGGAGGGTTGTGAGATTATGGGATCTCCCACCCCAGCGCCCCTCCTCCTCTCTCCTGCAGGGCACACTGATCAGATCAGGTGGAATGGACTGCCACTTATTGAAGGGCACCAGGCACATTGCCAAGTATTTTACAGAAGGCTCATTTAACTTCACAGAGCTCTATGAGAAAAGGAGGCACAGAGAGTAAAGGAACATCTCCCAGGGTTGGCATCATGGCACAGTGGGTCAGGAAGCCACCTGTAATGCCGGCATCCCTTATGGGTACCAACCAGTTTGTGTCCCAGCTGCTCCACTTTCTATCCAGGTTCCTGCTAAAGGCCTGGGAAAGCAGCAGAAAGAGGCTCAAGTGCTTGGGCCCCTGCCACCCAGGTGGGAAACCCAGATGGAGTTCCAGGCTCCTGGCTTCAGCCTGGCTCAACCCTGGCCATTGTGGCCTTTTTTTTTTTTTTTTTTTTTTTTTTTTTTTTTTTTTTTTGACAGGCAGAGTGAACAGTGAGAGAGAGAGAGAGAAAGGTCTTCCTTTGCCGTTCGTTCACCCTCCAATGGCTGCTGCGGCCAGCGCACCGCGCTGATCCGATGGCAGGAGCCAGGTACTTATCCTGGTCTCCCATGGGGTGCAGGGCCCAAGGACTTGGGCCATCCTCCACTGCACTCCCAGGCCACAGCAGAGAGCTGGCCTGGAAGAGGAGCAACCGGGACAGAATCCGGCACCCCAACCGGGACTAGAACCCAGTGTGCCGGCGCCGTAAGGTGGAGGATTAGCCTAGTGAGCCGTGGCGCCGGCTCATTGTGGCCATTTGGAGAGTGAACCAATGGGTGGACAATCTCTCTCCTTCTCTGTAACTCTGCCTTTCAAATAATAGAATAAATCTTTAAAAAAAAAAAAAAAGAAAGAAAAAGGAACTGTAAGATAACAAAGCTGGGAAGAAGTTAGAGTACAAAATCAAACCCAAGTCCCTGTGACTCCAGCACTGTCGTCTTCCCTCTGGAAGATTCCAGACACTTCCCTGACATCCTAGCTGCCTCATCGTCTGCTGGGAAGAACGGTGACCTCCAAGGTCCCGAGCGGTTCCTTCAGCTCCAGAGACTCAGCAGTGTGCACAGACACCAACAGAGAGGGGTCCCTTTGCCGGGCCACCCCTCAGCAAGTCATGCTTCTTCACTGGGGTGCCGGGGGCATTAGCTGCCCCTGAGTAAATGTGGAATTAGCTGCCCTGACTGTATTTGCATAATGGATTTCACTTTGTTCTTACTTAAGTTAATGGTGTTTTTGCAACAGAACAGTAACCTCTTGGTTCTTGGCCATTAAAACAACTGCCACCCTGAAGGCTAGAGTCAGGGTTATGTAAAGGAAGTTCAGTTAAGAGTCACAGAGGAGGAGAGAAAGGAGCCAGGGCGGTTAAAGTGCCCAATGCAACACAAGAAAAAGGTCAATGAGGGAGGACTCTTGGGGGAGGGGGGTGGCGCAGGTGCAGGCTCACTCCCTGGTGAGCACTACAGCCTGAGGAGCGCCCCATGCTGTTCCTATAGGATGTGGTCACTATGGAGGTAAGGATCCAGCACAAAAAGTTAGCGTGCTCCCAGGAATACAAAGGATCTGGAAAGCCTCCTGCTCCTGAGGGCACCGCAGTGCAGAGGTGTAGTTGCAAATGCCAGCAGATCCCATGTGAGCCTTCCCGCCTTGAGTATCTGCCCACAGTGTCTGCCCAGCACTTTCCCAATCCAGCCACTGCTAGACTTGGGCCCACGCTCTAACCCAGAGCTGGAAGTCAGAGCCTGGCGGGAGCTTCCTGTGGGGCGGTCATCAGGACAGCGAGCAGAATGCTCCCATGTATCCAGCCCTTCGTTGGGCATGAGGTCTTCCTATCTCACCTCGGCTATGCCTGGCCCCACCTCTCCACAAACGCGAAGCTCCTCCAGGTATGAGCTCTGTGATTCAAGGGTTTCAGCCCCTGCCCACCTGTGCAGCTGGGTCCCAGCTTCTTGCTCCAGCTGGGCCCATAGCTGATAGCACTCGTCCATCATGTGGGTGTAAAAGTCTTCAAGGTATGCCTTTCGGATTATCCGGCTCTGTCCATGGGAGCTCCCTCGGGAGTGCGGCAGGAAGAACTGGAGAACAAGAGAGACAAGGGAATCTGTGGCCTCTGTACAACCAGGAGTCTCTTACTCTAAATGTTTCCATCCAGTCTTCTAGATTCTCCCTCTACAGCCAGTCAGCTGACATGGCAGCCAAGACAGAGGTTCTACAGTCGCACTAACTTGGGCTTTCTTTGTGGGAACATCGCTCACACCCAGAGGCCCTTTGTGAGTTAGTCTCCAGTCATCTTGCTATAAGCTCAGCTCACTTAGACTCACAGAGAAGTCAGTTAGAAAGAACCTTCCAGATCATTCTGGCCTAGCCCCGTCATTTCACAGACAAGGAAACGGATGCTGAATTTACGACTCTCTGTGGCTTTAGCTCACTTGGGCTAAACATGGAGTTTCCTGAAAGGATGCACCCGGGATCTCTTGGGCTTTGAGGAAGCTGATGGAGTAACACGAGGGTTTCCAACCACTCCAGCTCATTACCAGGAAGAGTAAACCATGAGCAGCCTGGGTGGCTGTGTCAGTCTGTCCACTGAGACAGACGCCTCTCTGGGGGACTGGGCCTGCCCTCCAAAGGACCCTGCAGACACCAGGGCCCAGCTACACGTGCAGCAGTCAAGGGAGACAGCAATGCATGGCATCAGCTTCCCTTTATGGCAACATGAGACCTGCATCTCACTTCCTGCATGTCCAGAGGTAGAGGAAAAATGGAAACTTCTGCTGGGTGCTGGGGTGAGAGGTCAGAAAAGCAAGGGGGAGAATCCCATCAGGCTGATCCATCACCCTTTGGAAAGCTGTCTTTACTTAAAGTTACCCTGGGCAGAACTGGTTATTTTTCTGGGCTGAATCAACCATTTGGGCACAGAAAAATCAGGGTGGCAAGAAGGAAGAGAGGGGCTGGCGCTGTGGCATAATTGGTAAAGCTGCCACCTGCAGTGCTGCCATCCCATTTGGGTACAGGATCGAGACCTGGCTACTCCTCTTCTGACCCAGCTCTCTGCTATGGCCTGGGAAAGCAGTAGAAGATGGCCCAAGTGCTTGGGCCCCTGCACCCACATGGGAGACCAGGAAGAAGCACCTGGCTCCTGGCTTCAGATCAGCTCAGCTCTGGTTGTTGCGGCCACCTGGGGAGTGAACCAGCAGATGGAAGATCTCTCTCTCTCTCTCTCTCTCTCTCTCTCTCTCTCTGCCTCTCTGTAACTCTGCCTTCAAAATAGCTAAAATAAATATTAAAAAAGAAGAAGAAGAAGGAAGAGAACGGGGCCAAGGATGTATCTCGGTCTAGGACAGGAACTGGGCCACAGTAAAAGCAGAGATGTACTGGGAAATCCAGCGTGGGTCTGAGGGACGGGAGACACACTCTGCGTTCCCAGGAAACCTCCAAACAGCTAAGCTACAGATTGCACAGCGTGCATGGTCCTCAGGCCCTTTGGCCTCGCCCCACAGCCTGCTGGCTCTGGAAAGCCCTCTGGAGGGGAGGCGAGGGCCGAGCCTTAGCGTCAGGAGTGCAGAAGGGACACAGTACCTGCTCCAGCAGGAGGACGCTCTTCCTGTGTTTGGCCAGGTGGTAAGCGGTGAAGCAGCCCTGGATGCCTGCCCCGATCACAATGGCGTCATACAGAACTGTCTGAGAAGCCATGCTGTCCTCTTAGCCCTGCAGCCTCAGAGTCCACAGAGCAGAAAGCCCGCAGAGGCAGGTGCTACACTGAAAGGGTTGCAGGGAGCAAAGTCCAGCCTGGCTGGTGTTCCCACAATCCCCTGGGGCCTGTCCTTCTCCCCGCTGCCTCCCTCCCTGCAAAGCCTGGCACGGGGCTCAGCCTCCGCCTCTCCTGCAGAGCGGAGCTGGGTAGTCTGATCTGTGAGGTTTAGCCCAGCTCAGCTGCCAGCCTCACCCTTGCATCCCTCTAGCTTTCTATTCTTGGCTCAATTATTGTCATGCAAATGGGCTCCTTCCTATGCCACCTTCCTGTCTCATTATGATCTTTGTCTCAGGACTTCGGCCCTGGAATTTCAATGCCTCCTAGACCAAGCTGGGCACCAGGAATGCTGCCTCCCCCTGCTGGCTTTCCTCTCTTTGGCCTGATTTCCTTTCGAGATTCTAAGGGGCCAGCCAAGAACTTGGCAGGCTTCCCGGGCATAAAACCCACCTCCCTGGTGGGCGGTGAGGTCAGAGGGTGGATTCAGGGGCCAATTGGGAGGGCAGTTTTGTGATTATGAAATTATTCTCAGCGTGTTTTACTTTCGTTTTGAAAAAAAAAAAAAAGAATTGAATCTGGAAAAAATGAGAAAGGACTGAGTGAGAGGAGGAGCCCTCTTCTCGGGCACAGAGAGGGACCTGGCGGCAGCCTAGCGTGTGGCGGGGCCGTTGGGTTGAGCCTCCCTCTGTGCCAGGCAGCGTGCTAGGCGAGTGCTGTCGCAGACACGCAGGACAGAGCCAGGACTGGGAGGGCCTGCTGCAGAAAAAAATCTGAAGGTCCTGTTTAAGAGCAAAAAGAAAAGAATTATGAATACAAAATGAGGTGCCAGGACTTGGAAGAGAAGCATTCAATTAAGAGGCCCCGTGGTTGAGGTTTCATTAGCTGCCCGGTAAATCTGCCTTCAGTGTGCATTATCTCCTGGGATTCTCACAGCCTTGGGAGGACTTCCAGGCCCAGTGTTGGCAGATGAGACACTCCCCCAACTCCCTCTTGCTCCTCACCTTGCAGGCTCTGGGGCCGTTTGCCCTGTGGACTGCGGCAGAAGTGACATTATGGTCCTTTCTGACCAAACTCTAAGAGATTGGCAGCTTCCTCTTCCTGTCTTGGCCACTCTCGGAGCCTCGAGCCACCATGTCGGAAGTCAGAAGTCCGACCACCCTGTGACAGGCCCTGGAAATACACGGAGAGCCAGGCCGGAGAGTGAAGCCATTCGAAGCCCTCCAGCCCAGGCATCTCACCGGCTTGACATGGCCGAATGAGAACCCCCCAACAGAGGCCCTTCTGATTCCTGATCCAGGCAGTCGTGAGAATGAAACGGTCATTTTCAGCCACAAAGTTTTTGGAATTTTTTTTTAAAACAGACACAACCAAAATACCTCTTAACAGCCAAAAAGACAGTAATGCTTAGACAGATTATAATTCGGCCAGAGTTATATACCTGGTGTCTGTAGACATGGAGATGTGAACTCAGATCTGTCTGCTCCAGAACCCTGTCTTTTAACCACCCTGCTCTATTGAGGATTAGTTGAAACTTGTAACAGTGATTCTGATTGCAACATTTTGCTGTCTCCTGCATGGTTCTATGGTGACTGGGAGAAAGTACCAGTCTGCGCCCATATGAGGATGGGAAGAGTCCCCTGTAGTGGCCTTGACAACCAGCTTCCTCTCTGCCCAGCCCTCCCTTTCCTAGGAAAGCAGGGGCCCAGGGAGGGTTACCATCTGACTGGCTCTTTCTTCCTTTGGGAAAACAAGTTATTCTAGAATCCAGAAGTCTTGTCAACACCCTGCCATCCCCAGGATAGCATCTACCTCCCCAGCAGTGTGGGTAGCTCCCTAGAGTAAAAAATGGCAAATATAAGCAAGAAAATATACTATTTAAGTACTCAAAGGCTTGATACAAATCTATAAGGTCAGCCCCCAGATTTCTCTTGATGTCAGAGATGAACAGTTGTGCACAAGAAAAAGTAGACAATAAATCCTCACACGGTCATATGCCTGATCTCACTAGCAAGGACAGAAATGGGAATTAAATAACTTAAAGGTACTATTATGTGCCTATTAAATGAGCAAAAAGAAATAAAAGTGGTAAAATCTGTCATCAATGCTGCAGGGGCAGAAATATAGAGTAGGGGGCAATTTGGCTCAGCTGCATTTCCTGGGGGGTGCTGAGGCAACACTCCACAACCAGGGTGTGATGGTTCAAACTTTCTTTTTTAGGAAGGTGTTTTTTATTCTTTAACGTAAGAGACAGAGAGAGAAAGAAGGAGTGAGACAAAGCTCCTATCTACTGGTTAACTTCCCTAATGCCCGCAACAGCTAGGACTGAAACTGGTAACCAGAAACTCAATCCAGGTCTCCTACATGAGTGGCAGGAACCCAGTTACTTGAGTTGTCACCACTGTCTTCCAGGGTCTGCATTAGCAGGAAGCTGAAGTCAGGAGTCAGAGCTGGGTATGCAACCCAGGCACTCTGTGGGAACAGGGCATTTTATTTATTTATTTATTTTATTTTTATTTATCTATTTTCTGACAGGCAGAGTGGACAGTGAGAGAGAGAGAGACAGAAAGGTCTTCCTTTTCCGTTGGTTCACCCTCCAATGGCCGCTGCAGCCTGCACACCGTGCTGATCTGAAGCTAGAAGCCAGGTGCTTCTCCTGGTCTCCCATGTGGGTGCAGGGCCCAAGCACTTGGGCCATCCTCCACTGCACTCCAGGGCCACAGCAGAGAGCTGGACTGGAAGAGGGGAACCGGGACAGAATCCGATGCCCCAACTGGGACTAGAACCCAGTGTGCCGGTACTGCAGGCGTAGGATTAGCCTATTGAACCGCATTTTATTATTATTTTTTTTAAGACTTATTTATTTTATTTGAAAGAACAACAGAGAGAGAGAGAGAGAGAGAGAGAGAGAGAGAGATCTTCTACCTGCTGGTTTATTCCCCAAATGGCCATGATAGCCAGGATTGGGCCAGGCTGAAGCCAGGGGCCTGGAACTCCTTTTGGGTCTCTTGTGTAGGTGGCAAGGGTCCAAGCACTTGGGCCGTCTTCCACTGTTCTCTTACATGGATTAGCAGGGAGCTGAATGGGAAGCAGAGCAGCTGAGACTCTAACTGGCTCTCTGATGTGGAACGCCGGCATTGCTAGGGGTGATTGAACCTGCTCTACTGCAACACCAGCCCCAAGGGACCAAGGCATCTTAAACATTTTTTATTGGGCCGGCGCCGCGGCTCACTAGGCTAATCCTCCGCCTAGCGGCGCCGGCACACCGGGTTCTAGTCCCGGTCAGGGCGCCAGATTCTGTCCCGGTTGCCCCTCTTCCAGGCCAGCCCTCTGCTGTAGCCAGGGAGTGCAGTGGAGGATGGCCCAGGTGCTTGGGCCCTGCACCCCATGGGAGACCAGGAAAAGCACCTGGCTCCTGGCTCCTGCCATCGGATCAGCGCGGTGCGCCGGCCGCAGCGCGCTGGCCGCGGCGGCCATTGGAGGGTGAACCAACAGCAAAGGAAGACCTTTCTCTCTGTCTCTCTTTCTCTCACTGTCCACTCTGCCTGTCAAAAAAAAAATTTTTTTTTATTTATTTATTTGAAAGGCAGAGTTACAGAGAGGGAGAGAGGGGAGACATCTTTTGTCTGCTGGTTCACTCCCCAAATGGCCACAATGCCCAGAGATGGGCTGGTCAGGAGCCAGGAGCTTCTTCCAGGTCTCCCACATGAGTGCAGGGGCCCAAGCACTTGGGCCATCTTTCGCTGCTTTCCTAGGTACATTAGCAAGAGCTGGATTGGAAGTGGAGTAGCCAGGTCTTGAACTGGCACCCATATGGGATGCCGGCATTGCAGGCAGCAGCTTAACTGCTACGCCACAGTGCCAGCCCTGACTGAAGCATGTTAGCTGGCATCTCAACCCTTAGGCTAAATTCCCACCCCAAATCACACCTTCTAACCCAGAAATTTTATTTGGGGAGCAATCCCCCAAGGGGAGTACAAGGCATTTACAGGAAGACATGCATATCTGTGGTTTTATAATATATATTTTAAAAAATTGGAAGCAACCCAACAACTGGGAATAGCTAAACAAACTTGGGCACACTGACACACTAGAATGCCACATAGCTGTTCCAACTGGCCAGCCTGAGGACTGGGTGTAACACAGGCGTGTGAAGCAGTGGTCAGAAAGCAGCAGACCAGAAACAGTCACACACTGGCCCTCACTGTGTGTGTGCGTGTGTGTGTGTGTTATCAAAGATCTAAAGAGAATTGGGTGAGGTAATTGAGCTTAATGCTCATTAATTCCCATAGTCTATAAAAACTGCATTTCCATTCACAATTTGTAAGAGGAGGAGAACTCCCTTGGGGAAGCAGATGCTTCAGATCTCCCTGGCCACGGGTTCCAGAGCCTGGGGAAGTTCATTCTTTGTTCTAATCTTAGTTCTTCCTGCTGCCGCCGACATTTCTTATTGTTCAGTCCTCCAGGGAAGCAGCCGAGCGGCTGTGCAGCCCCCTCCCCTTGTTTAATATAATATCCCTTCAGAGATAACATGACAATTCCATTTCCCCAATCCCACTTCATAAGCCTGCCCCGGATTCCTGGACTCAAGCATCCTGCTTCTTGTTAAGAATTTCAAACAGCTCCTCCGAAAGCAGACACTGGCCACGGCCCAACCTTGAAATGAAAAGCAAATCGACTTCTGAAGCCTTCCCCGTCTCTCAGGGTTGCCCGTCCTTGCCAATGTCCTGACAGGGGCAGGCAGGGAGAAGCGATCCCCTCAAATTCCATTTTAACCCCCATTCTGGAGCGGAAGACTGTTCAAGGGAGAGCCGGCAGCCCTACACCTTGCTGCTTGTGTGTGTCAGCAATCGCTGCGCGTGTCCTGGGGCACAGCCGCCGCGGGGATGTGAGGCTGAGCTGCTCCTCTGATGGCTTGATTGACACTCGGCAGACCGGGGTGGGAGAGCCGAGTCAGGGAAGCAGCAAGCTGTACAGCTCAGAAATAATGAGAGGACCCGAATCGCGAAAGAGAGAGAGAGAAATAAGGGA